TGAACATGTTTAATGACAATTTGCTGTCTCGTTTTAGGAACATCCTAAAACAAAGACAAAAGCAATTGTCAATAGATACGTTCTTTCCAAAAGTAGAGAAAAGAAGAGTCAGTGATAGTGAACCACATCCCGGTCCCAGTGGGGTGAAATTCCCAAGAAGAGAGAGCCCGCCTGACTCAGAGGTGGATTCTCCTTCCACACCATAACCACTCTCCTCCTTCCCACCTCCCCATCGTCTCCCTCAAGCCAGCAACGACTCTTCATAAGGTAAACATTAAAACATTACAACAAAACATTTATAATTACATGTGCACTATTATATTTACATTATAAAATGTCATACAAGTATGGATGTTTTGGGAGTGGAATGGATTAAATTTATTTCCTTTATTTTAAATGGGAAAATTTGTTTCTTAAGACGAGTTTTCCACATAATGAGCTCGGTGCCAGAACGGATTAAACTCGTTAATCGAGGTGCCACTGTAATAACTCAGATAATAATAAGTATGTTATTATGCTCTATTTTGTTATATATCATATGAAAACTATGTGAAGATGGAATGAAATTGGTCAACAAATAAATCAGTCACAACTCGCAGAACTTGGGACTTTGAATTTTTTGGCTGATTTTTTTCAGAAATTTCAAACTCCATTTTCTTTCTCTTTAGGTTGTTTTGATAATTAGGGACCATATTAGGGCTTTTTCACTTATAAAAAGTATACCCTAAATATATCCCCTAAATCATTATAATTATTATAATTATCCCTATACAGGTATTTTGTTTTTTTGGGAGGTTATTTTTTCTTGACTTCATTTCGACACATTGACCTACAACTTTCACATATTCGTGCATGAATGCCATGCAATGATTATTAAAACATGAAAGTAAATTAATGAATTCAAACTGCCTTTATTCATTGTCGATAACTTCAACTTCAATTATCTCTAAAACTATAGTTTCAAATTTGAGTGGCTGCTAAAATTTCTGTTTCTGACTCATTCTTACCATTTTGACATATTGTGTCCTCAGCTGTCTGTTCTACAATCCCTTGAGAATGGATTTTTCATAAATCGTAAACATTTGGAGTTTTACATTTTTTTTGTCTAAATTTGCCGCATATTTCAAATGCCATATTGACGATTTTTTTTACAGTAAAGTATACTGAAAGTCTATATTCTAATTTGATGAAAATGAAGATCATCTGCCATTCTGAGAGTGTAATAACACCAAATGAACAATTGGTGATTGTTTATATTTTTTAATCTGATTTTAAAATCTTTAGTTTTCAATATTCAATTTAAAAAATATTTTTGATTTTTTTGTTTTTCAAGTTATGTTGGTGATCAAGTGACAAAGTTGGAGCATTTGCCAAGTTGATTATGCAAAAAAAATTGGAAAGAGTATGTGAGAGTTTTAAAAACTGATATGTCCAATCGTATATGTATGTTTTGCGCCGTTTATAGGTCAAATTACTGAACACATTAGATGATATTAATCTAGCTCCTGGCATTACTCTAGGAGCCTGAAAGCTGAGTGGACAGTGCTTCGGATTCGTAGTCCTGAGGTTCCGGGTTTGATCCCGGTGGAGGCGGAAACAAATGGGCAGAGTTTCTTTCACCCTGATGCTCCTGTTATCTAGCAGTAAATAGGTTCCTGGAAGTTACAGCTGCTATGGGCTGCTTCTTGGGTGTGTAATAAAAAGTAGGTCCGGTCGAGGACTGGGCCTCGGGGACGCTAAGCCCCGAAATCATCTCGAGATAACCTTAAGGAGGAGATAACCCCACTTTTTTATTAACAGGTCCAACATAATGTACACAAGAGGCAACAATTTCAAGCTCATAAAGTCACAATATTGGAAAGAAGGCCATAGATGCTTTCTGGATGAGCCCCTGGTGGCTCCCTAAAGCTATATATATATGGACATCTTCAAGAGGAAACTAGATTGTTTCCTTCAAGGAGTGCCGGACCAACCGGGCTGTGGTGGGTATGTGGGCCTGCGGGCCGCTCAAAGCAACAGCCTGGTGGACCAAACCCTCACAAGTCAAGTCTGGCCTCGGGCCGGGCTTGGGGAGTAGAAGAACTCCCAGAACCCCATCAATCAGGTATCAACCAGGTATCTTTCCTAGATTGTTTTATGTAAATGGGTCACATCAGACACATGGGATCAGTTTGGCCTGCTGGGGACCAGAGCCAAAACTTGGTCTTCCTTCACAGAGAACTGAGAGCAAGTGCCAAGTTGCCACCACACCGGGAAAGTATCCAGTAAGTCAGAGAAGCTTTACAGACAACTGGAGGGATAACAAAGACATAAGCTTCAAAATAACCAAATAACTCTGCAAGATTCACACAGAACAACAGAAACATTACAAATTAGCATGAAACTCATGGGTACTGAATGCCACCACCAGGCACCCCCAGCTTCCACACATATGAAAATCTTCCTTACTCAGTTCATTCTCATGTCCAGCTGGACAAGTAGTGTTCCAGGTCTTACAGAAGTGGCAAGTCCCCCTCTGCTTCAAGCTAAGTGCCTGCTATTTTTGTGCTTGTTCCTTTGGGGTCCATTGGCTTTGTACTCTGTTCTATATATTTTTTTTTTTTTTTTTTTTTTTTTTAAAGATATATACAAGAGTTGTTACATTCTCGTACAGCCACTAGTACGCGTAGCGTTTCAGGCAGGTCCCTGGAATACGATCCCCTGCCGTGAAGAATCGTTTTTTCATCCAAGTACACATTTTACTGTTGCGTTAAACAGAGGCTACAGTTAAGGAATTGCGCCCAGTAAATCCTCCCCGGCCAGGATACGAACCCATGACATAGCGCTCGCGGAACGCCAGGCGAGTGTCTTACCACTACACCACGGAGACTGGTATTTTAGTATTTTGCTTCACATGTGTTTTCTATTCAGCTTGTTTGGGATAGTTTGTGTTGAGCTTTGGGCTGCATGCACTCTGGAACAAGTTAGGTGAGAATGTGGTGGAGGCCAAAACCATCAGTAATTTCAAAGTGTTTTATGACAGAGTGCTGGGAAGACAGGACACCACGAGTGTAGCTCTTATCCTGTATCCACACTTACGTAATTACTTGGATAATTACTTCCGGGACCCTCAGAAAGTATATATATACAATGTGCGCCATGCAGGTACAGGTAATTAGAAAATTGCATATATACAATTAGCGCTGGTCAAGGGTTAACCAGGTGTTGGCCCTCCTCTCCTGTCTATGTTTTACAACCACTCATTTGGCTCATGAAATCTTTCTTAAAGTTGTATTTTGTTGGCTTTTGCATCTGGCCGTAGGAAAAAGAGGCTCTTCTCTGGAGATAAGGGTTTTGTTCCTATGGCCTTGATGGGCAGTTTGTTTGCTGCCTTCTCCTCCTTTTCTGGTGAAGACCGAGTCTTCTAGCTTTCAAAGGGGTCCATTGGTGATTGTTGCTTGGTTGGTTTGGCTGGGGATGCATAGCAAGTTGTGTCCAGTGACTCTCTACTGCTTCCTGCGGGTCACCAGTTTTGCCTCAATACATGCCTTGTTGGTTGAACCTGTTTTCTTGGCCCCCTCACCACTGTTTCATGGATTGTATTTTCCAGATTGTCCATAATGTCACCAAATCTAGCCAACCTGCCGTTTACCCTCAGGCCCATGATGTTTACATGTATGCTGCATTGGCTGCCGTCTTCTCATACATTTCTTCGGATGAAATTTGGACTTCTGGGTTTTGGAGGCTTGATATTCTTTTAATGCCACTGGCTGTTTCTCCTGGCATGAATTCTCTTCTTAATCCTAATGCATATTGCCTCTCCTCATTCTTCCCTGGTAAGTCTTGTTTATGTTCTCAATGATTAGTTAGCTCCAAGGAGCCACCAAAGGTGCTGTGTTGAATGCAATAATCTGTCTCATTCTGGATAAGCTGTGTTAGCTCCCTGACTACCTCCCTACCACTTCTGATCATTCATTGGTGGGCTGTTCATCAGCTCCAGAACTGAGTAAGGATAATGGTTGTTTGCAGAAGCCAGGCAGTCTGGTGGTACTGTTAAGTACTATGAGTTTTGCACTAATTCTGAATGTTTCCCTTTTTCTGTGTGAATTGTTTGTGGAGTTGTTTGTCAATTTCAAGGCTTAGGTCTTTATCCTTCCAGATGTTTATAAAGCTTCAAAGACTTTCTGGATGCCTTCTCAGTGTGGTGGAGAATTATCACTCACTTTCTGTACCTCTTTGGGGTGGGGCCAGGTTTAGGCTCAGGTTCCCATAGACCAAAATTTGAACCCTTGCATCTGATGTAACCCAATTGCTTCGAACAATCTTGGTGAGATAGCTTCAGGGAGCCACTGGGACTCATCCAGAAAAAGGCCTTTCATTGCATTCAAAGCTGGGTTTTTCACCCATGCAATAATAAAATTGCTTACCCATTGAAGCTGGAAATGGCAAAATAATACTGTACTTCAGTATAAAATTCAGCTAGAAAAACTTCTTGGGAATAATGGATGGTATCTTTGGTAAGCCTTCGGCTTCGAGTCTCCAAGGCTACTCGAGATGGTGGCCCTCGGATAAATTTAGGAGTAATGTGGGAAGAAGTGTTGCTAGAGGGCTGCATGAAGGAGTGGAGTGTGTATGATGTGCAAAGGCGGGATACTAGCGAGATGCATCAGTATAAGAATTCAGAAAGTTGGAACAATTGTAATAGACCATCTTGAGATTCATTTGTACTGTATTAGGAAGATGGCTAGAGTAACGAATTACATTTTTAATTGAAAGATGTGTTATTAAAAATCTAGTAAATTGCAAGATAGTGAATTGGTATGGTTTTCTTATACAGTACTGAGCAGATGAATGATTATAATCATAGTGTGTTTAGAGGGGGTAGATCCCGCTCTCCTTGGACTCGTAATATTAATTCTTTGAAGCTATTTCATAAACATTACTATCTTATACAGTATAGTATTTTTCCACATATGTGATAAAAATCTTACTAACAATTTGTCTTGCATTATTTTTTCCAGTTACATGAAATATTTAACCAGATCAGATATACTTTGGGAACAAATTTGGCCAACAGTCGCTGGTACCCTTTAGAAATAAAGGCTCAACTTGCTGATAAGGTAACTTTATTGTTGTTTTATAAGTTATATATATATTCTCCCTTCTCTCGTACTTAGATCTCAGGCGCTACCAATATCTTTAACTCTTCAGCACTCTATATCATATAACACTTTGAAACTACTTATGGTTTTTGCCTCCACAACCATCTCACCTAACTTGTTCAAACCATCTACCACTCTGTTTGCGAAAGTTAAATTTCTTATATTTCTTCGGCAGCTTTGATTAGTTAGTTTAAATTTGTGACCTCTTGTTCTTGAAGCTCAAGGTCACAGGAATTCTTCCTGCGTCAATTTTATCGATTCCCATAACTATTTTGTACATAGTGATCATATCACCTCTTTTTCTTCTATCTTCTATTTTTGGCATATTTAATGCCTGCCTCTCCTTGTAGCTCTTGTCCTTCAGTTCTAGGAGGCATTTAGTTGCATGTCTTTGCTATGTTGACCAGACCACACACTAGAAATTGAAGGGACGACGACGTTTCGGTCCGTCCTGGACCATTCTCAAGTCGATTGTGATGAGGACAGGTAGGGACAGGCATTAAATAGGCAAGAGAGAGCTGAGGAGGAAAGTCAGGTGTAGGGGATAGTAGTAATGAGAACTGCAGCAGGCCTATTGGCCCATACGAGGCAGCTCCTATTATAACCACCGAAGGAGATAGTAATAGGAATAAGAAGAGGATAGCAAGGGAGCGTAGAAGACAATGAACAGAAAAAGGGAGAAGAGAGAAAGAAAGGGAAAGAGAAAGAAAGAAATGGAAGGGGGAAAGCTTATGTTAAGTCACGTTTGTTAGAAAGATTAGAGCATTTGAGTATATACTGTGAAAGGGAAGAGTCCACAGCAACAAAGCCAGGACTCAAGTTCATGTTGGGTACATTGTTAATAAGAGCCGATTCTACAAGACGGCGTCTGTGTAGAGTAGAGGCAGGAAAGATTATTTTGGAGGAAGACCAATCAATGGGATGATTAGAATCCCTCACATGGCAGAAGAGAGCATTGTTAGTGTCTGCAGACATAACACTTCTCTTGTGTTCTTTAAGTCTGTCATTCAGTGTACGGCCAGTTTCGCCAAAGTATTGGAGAGGACAAGATGAACAGGAAATAGAGTAGACACCAGCAGCATTAGAAGCAGGAGGAGCAGTGTGAACTAGATTGCTACGAAGTGTGTTAGTTTGTCGAAAGGCGAGTTTAATGTCAAGAGGACGAAAGGTATTGGTAAAAGTTTTGAGTTCAGATATGAAGGGAAGGCATAGTACAGTGCTACTAGTGTTGGAAGCAGGTTTAGGATGAAAGAAATTTCGTTTAGCTTGAGAGTGGGCACAGTTGATGAAATGCAAATGTAGATAAAGGCAATTTCAGAATCAAGAAACTGAGGGTCGCTGATGCGTAGAGCGCGGAGGAAGAGAGAGACGAGGACACTTTTCTTAACAGAAAGAGGATGGTAGGAAAAGAAGTGAATGTACATGCCACTATGCATGGGTTTACGGTAGACAGAGAAAGAGAACCCAGACACAGAGCTGTGAACATGAACATCAAGAAAAGGAAGGAGGGAATTAGATTCCCACTCCACTTTGAAATGGATAGAAGGAGCCAGATTGTTAAGAGAGGTGAGGCTACAAATCATTCTCTCGCCTTGGTTATCCTTTGCATTTCATCAACTGTGCCCACTCCCAAGCTAAACGAAATTTCTTTCATCCTAAACCTGCTTCCAACACTAGTAGCACTGTACTATGCCTTCCCTTCATATCTGAACTCAAAACTTTTACCAATACCTTTCGTCCTCTTGACATTAAACTCGCCTTTCGACAAACTAACACACTTCGTAGCAATCTAGTTCACACTGCTCCTCCTGCTTCTAATGCTGCTGGTGTCTACGCTATTTCCTGTTCATCTTGTCCTCTCCAATACTTTGGCGAAACTGGCCGTACACTGAATGACAGACTTAAAGAACACAAGAGAAGTATTATGTCTGCAGACACTAACAATGCTCTCTTCTGCCATGTGAGGGATTCTAATCATCCCATTGATTGGTCTTCCTCCAAAATAATCTTTCCTGCCTCTACTCTACACAGACGCCGTCTTGTAGAATCGGCTCTTATTAACAATGTACCCAACATGAACTTGAGTCCTGGCTTTGTTGCTGTGGACTCTTCCCTTTCACAGTATATACTCAAATGCTCTAATCTTTCTAACAAACGTGACTTAACATAAGCTTTCCCCTTCCATTTCTTTCTTTCTCTTTCCCTTTCTTTCTCTCTTCTCCCTTTTTCTGTTCATTGTCTTCTACGCTCCCTTGCTATCCTCTTCTTATTACTATTACTATCTCCTTCGATGGTTATAATAGGAGCTGCCTCGTATGGGCCAATAGGCCTGCTGCAGTTCTCATTACTACTATCCCCTACACCTGACTTTCCTCCTCAGCTCTCTCTTGCCTATTTAATGCCTGTCCCTACCTGTCCTCATCACAATCGACTTGAGAATGGTCCAGGACGGACTGAAACGTCGTCGTCCCTTCAATTTCTAGTGTGTGGTCTGGTCATCAATATGGGCACCATATAATCGCTGCATATTCCAGCTTCGGTCTAACAAAGGTTGTGAACAATTTCTTTAACAATTCACCGTCCATGTGAATTAAATTATGAAATTGGAAAGTGTAGCATAGGCTTCTTGCACGATGTTCTTTATGTGGTTCTCGGGTGGTAGTTTTCTGTCTAGAACCACCCCGAGATCTCCCTCTTTATCAGAATTCTTTGAAGTGAAGATTTCACACTTAATTTTAGGTTGTGTGGGGTCTATGTTCTCCTATTCCACATTCCATAACATGGCATTTATTCACATTAAATTTAATTTGCCAAGTGATGGGGTCATACACTTATTTTGTCCAGGTCTTTTTGAAGGGCATGACAATCATCTAAGTTAGTTATCTTTCCTATTATCTTAGCATCATCAGCAAACATGTTCATATAATTCTGTATTCCATCAGGTAGATCGTTTATGTAGACAATAAACATTACCAGTGCAAGAACTGAACCCTGTGGTACTCCACTCCTGACATTTCTCCAGTCTGATACATTGCTTCTGATTACTGCCCTCCTTTTCTGTCAGTTAAAATTTTTTTCCCTCATTCTTTCAACACTCATTAAAAGTTGCACAACTGGTGGGTGCAGTAGTCAGAAAAGCTAACCAAACTTTATGGGATAATTGAGCGTACTTTTACTTATAAGGAGAAGGTAATGGTTCAACTGTATAAATCTCTGGTGTGCCCCCATTTGGATTACTTAATCCAAGAATGCAGACCATATTTTCAGAAGGACATAGCTGCTGTGGAGAAGGTGCAACACTGGGCAACAAAAGTCATTCTAGAGCCAAGTCATCTGCTGTATCAGAAGCATTTGAAAGCTACAGGGCTAACAACACTGCAAACCAGGGCAATCTCATTGAAACTTTTAACATTCTGAACAAGTTAGAGGATGTTGATCTGGATGTTTTCTTCAGGAGGTCAGATGTAACATAAACATGGAGCAACAATTTTAAGCTCAACAAGCCACACTGTAGGACTGAGAACAGGAGATGCTTTTTAACCCACAGGGTTATTAACCCATGGAACCACCGCCTACCCACTGAAGCTGTAACTGCCAAACTGTGTTTTTTAAAATATACCTAGAAAAAATCATGAAGGCAAATGGAAGGGAGGGGGTAGAGGACCTACGACAAGCTGCCAGCTTCCTATCCTCACCAAGGCCACTAGGTTTAGTGGCCCTCAGGTAAATCGGGTAAAAATCAGGTAAGTTCCGCTGTTCCATTCAACATATAATTCACCCTTTTGATTTCTTCTACTTCAGTTCAACTTTTGCATTTGATCTCAATTAGTTTTAAGTCTTGGTTTTTAATTTATTTGTTCACATAATGCCCAAAACGCAGTGCATTTCAGGCATGATGTGAAAATTAGTGGCTTTAGGCATAAAATATACTTGCTCTATCTAGAAATCTAACATTCTGCTTGTAACCCATTTTGCATGTATGTTCTTTACCCAAAATAAGCATTATCATTGACTTAAAAGGGACTGGAGCAACATGTGTAGAGAGGGGTAGCAACAGAGATCCATCAAGGACCCACCAGAAAGAGGCATTTCATTACATTCAATACTGTATTTTCTATTTTTGCAGATTAATAATATGTCTCTGGCTGTTGGTTATCCAGAGCGCCTCTTGAATCCAACTGTAATTAACTTTTACTATGAAGACTACACGATATTTATCAAAGACTTCTTCCAGAATCTTCAGGTAATTACATTATTATAATATTATATATTATAATAGTTGTGTGCATAGAATGAGCCTTCAGATACTGTCTTGAAAGAATGAGGAAAATCCTTCATAAATGGGTCACCATTAGGGTTATAAATTATATTTTCAAAATTCTGGGAGAAACTTTGGAAATGAAGATAAAATAGAAGGCATGAAAGACCTACCAGAGGGGAGGAAGGGAGGGGGTGTAGGGCACTTGTGGACCCTTCTTGGACTCTTCCCCAGCCCTGGAAGCCCTGATAAATGAAAACCCAAAGACAGCGCCATGATCAGACACTGTAGACTGAAAATCATCTCTAGAGGGAAGGAATTGAGCCTCCAAAAACCCCTCCTTGATTAATGGTTGGCAGTGGAACCCCAGAAGGAAATATTGGCCACAATGGCTTCTGCAGCCAACATGGAATGGGTAAACAAAATCCCAGGAAGTTCCATGTTTATATTATTCATGTATGTTTATATGTTTTCAATATTGTGTAACATGTATGTTTCTGGGGGGAGCCCCGTCGGCTCCCCGGAGCTTTACCGGCTGATATGCTAATGTCAGACTTCGGCATCAGTCATGTGTATGGAGTTCTAGGGCCTACCAGGGACCACGAGACAGAACCTGGCCCCCCTCAGAGCGGCAAGGGGAGCAATGGCCTATAGAAACCCCCGTGTGGTTGGAAGCATTCTATGTCTGCCATCGACCGGGTCAAGCATCCAGAAAGGTAAGCATTCCAAAACAAACCCCTATTCTGGTGAAAATTGCTACCTAAAGCCGAACTAGTGGATAGAACTCTTCAACAGAAAACAAGGAAACTAGTATGACGTCATACGTCACCGCGTCGCTGTCTGCGCAGCTCCCCCCTCCCCGGGAGGGGGAAGGGGGAGCCCCAGACCTCCCACGCCGGCTATCCACCCATCAGTTCTTCGGCTGATGCTATAGGCAATGGTTATGTGCTCCGGCTCCAGTGGTTGTTTCAGCACTGTACCTAGAGTGTGGTGTCTGTTTTCTAGGTGGTGCGTGAGCCAGGAGTGATTCTTCAGTACTCGGGCTGCATGTGCCTAGGGTTCCCTTCCCTAGGTGCCCTGTAAGTACTGCCCTTGGGGCTTGGGGCCACCTTCCACAAGTTCCTTGGGTCCTGCCCCTGCTTGGCCGTTTCCTGCTTGGTTTTCGGCCGCTCTTTGTGTGCTCGGGTGTTCTGTCTCCCTTGTTCGCCTTAGAGTAAGGGGCAGTTTTTGCACTGGTGGGGCGCAGGGTACTGTGCAGCTTGTCTTTACCAATCATAGTGGCCGGCTCTGTTCCGCTTGGGTACGCTGTCCTCTTGCGGGGTTTTCTTTTTCTTTTTGTTTATCTACCTGGTGGGGGGGTCTGCCTTCGTTCTTGCCCCTTGTGTCCCTTGTGTTCTGAGTATTTTCTGGTGGTACCCCTGCTAGGTCCCCGTGAGTGTACACGTCCCGGGGGTTCAGCTCTTAGAAAGTTGTTTGGTAGCTTTGGGTGCCGGTTAGCAGTACCCTGCCTGGGATTACCTGAGCGTGAGTCCTCTTATAGTAAACGCTCGGGACCCTGGGAAACCCCTGGGGGCGCGCGGGTCCGATGGATGTGACCCTAGAGTCCCCCCCTCGCTTCCAGCGAGTTTGAGGGTTGCTCTCACCCTTTGTCTCTGGGTGACTCTCTGTTTTGCCTCCGTCTGCTGCCTGTGGGGTCGGTGACACCTTCGACCCGGAGTCCTGCGAGTTTGGTTGTTCGTTGTGGCTCGGTTACCCAGTTGTGCTTATAAAGCGGGTGCGGGCAGCAGGGGCGTTGCACTTTAGCCTTGGTGGTGGCAACGTTCTCGTGGTTTCCTCCCCGGGAGCCCCGGGGCTGCCCCGTTGTAGTTCGTTTTGAGACTTGGGGGTGTTGGTTGCTTCGGTTCCATCCACGCCCCCTTGTCTTTCCCCTGGATCACCCTTCCTGCCTGCATCCGGTTCCTTACCGTCTGTAGGTTCGGGGCGGGGTTTTTGATGGTGTTGAGACTCGGGCAGTCTCGGGGAATTCCCCTTCCGGGGTAGTGACGGGGGCATTTGAGCCTGTTCCTCCAGCCGTGTTGTACGAGTCTGCCAGTGGGCTCCCTTCTTTAGTGTTTTCACGGCTGCCCCGGTTTTCTGGAACGGCCGGGGCTTTGGGGGAACGGCTCGGCCCCGGGGCCTGTTGTGTAGGTTCCCGGGGCTGGGAAGGGGCTGACTTGGGGGGCCTTGGCCCCGTTGGACCCCGTGGGGGTTTTTATCCCCCTCTAGGCGGGGCTTGTGGTTACGAGGAGTGGGGTTTTTCCTCCCCACTCGCCGTACGTGCTGTTGGGCGTCGGCCTCTCCCCGAGCTCGGTTCCTTGGCCTTTGAGTCGGTTGGTTCCGTCCTGTGAGTGGATGTTTCCTCCCACCCCTTTTTGGGACGGTGTTTTCGTCATGTTTCCCCGTTCGATGGGGTTCTGCGTGACTTCTGATCTCGGGTGCGCCTTCGTGTGTGTTCGGGACTAGTGTTGGCTTCCGTGTTCTCGAGGGTACAGGAAGGTTTTTCGCTACTTACCGCATTATTGGAACGTCTGTCGGCTCCTCGTCCTTGTCGCCCTGTTGGGCTGCTTGTCGCCCTGTTGGGCTGCTTGTCGCCCTGTTGGGCTGCTTGTCGCCCTGTTGGGCTGCTTGTCGCCCTGTTGGGCTGCTTGTCGCCCTGTTGGGCTGCTTGTCGCCCTGTTGGGCTGCTTGTCGCCCTGTTGGGCTGCTTGTCGCCCGGTTGGGCTGCTTGTCGCCCGGTTGGGCTGCTTGTCGCCCGGTTGGGCTGCTTGTCGCCCGGTTGGGCTGCTTGTCGCCCGGTTGGGCTGCTTGTCGCCCGGTTGGGCTGCTTGTCGCCCGGTTGGGTTCCTTTTTGGGCTCTTTGCTTCTTTGACCGGTTTTATTGTTCCTGCTTCCTCTTTTGGCTACTTTTCTCGTGCAGTAGTCCTGGCTGGCGCCTTCCCGCAGGGAGGGTGTGCGGTTCGGCCAGCATGTTATGCGCATGCGCCGTGGAGTTTGTTTTGGTCTGGGCGGTGTTTCAGTGCTGGTGTTTTGCGCCCTTTTTGCTACAGTGCTTCGCCTCTCGTTCTTCTCCCTGGCTGCGGTATGTGCCCCTTCGCGCCGGGGGTGTCCTGGTTCTCAGTTGTGGGGAGGACACCGCGGTTTTCCCTGTGTCATGGGTGTGGACCGCCTCCTTCGCCTCTCCCTGCTCTCCTGCGGGTCCGGCAGGGTCCGGCTCTGGCGTCTTCACCTGGCGGTGCTCCCAGGTTCTTCTGGGCACGGTTGAGTCGTGTCAAGTTCGTGCCACCATTCGCCAGGTGAGTTTCTGCGGTCTGGCGTCTTTTGGCCGGGCGCTGGATGCGGTGTTGTTTATATACTTGTCTTTATTTGGGTATATTTTTGTACGACTGAGACTGTTCGCACACCAGTGACTGTCCATTTTTTCAACCCTTCCTGTCCCCCTCATGTGCATGTCCAACCCATGCTGGAGTCATTCAGGGGCCCCTCCTTTTTAATGTTGTGAGGTGTGGGGGTTGCAGGGTTGGTTCTGTACTCACCTGGTAAGGCTCCTGGCTGTGCTTGCAGGATTTGAGCTCTGGCTCTTGGGTCCCGCCTATCTGGTAGAACTTGCGGGATAGTACCAGTGGAGTGCAGTGGTGCTATTGGCACATTTGGGGAACACTGTATTACCATCAGAGGTCTGTGCTTGTTACACGACCTACTTGAAAGCATAAGCCTTCTTGCTGGTTTGTCCGTGGACTTCCAGGGCGCACTAGCCTGTTTTCGTATGGCAGTTCCGGCCCGTCCTGGTTGTGGGGATATGTGGGCCTAGCAGCTGCCTGGTGGGCCACCCTCTGGCCGGTCTAGCCTGGCCTTGGGCCGGGCTTCAGGTGTAAAAGAGCTCCCAGTATCATCCAGCGGGTATCGAGTGGGGTTTCTCCGCCGTCGGTCGCTTGGTGCAGGTTTCTGGGCCTGCAGGGTTTTGTCGTGTCTCCGTTGGTCCTGTCTGGGGTCTGCCTGCTCCGTTCTCTGCCTTTGCAGAAGGGAGTTGCTATTTACATGTTGCAGTGGTGCCTGTTGCTGCTGCTGCACGTGTGCATTGGTACCATGTTTCACGGTGGTACCAATGGTTTCCTTGTTCCTGTGTCCGGTTGTGGAGTGGCACTTTGCTGCCATTTTGTGCCTGGGGATTGCGTGGGGGTTTTTCTGTCCCTGCCTGATTGTCCGCCCCTGGTTGTTCTCCTGGGGTTTTTGTGCTTCTGCTCTTTCTTCCTGCCTCCTCTGCAGCAGGGATGTTCTGCGTGTGTTCTTAGGCGTTGGTCAGCCTGTGTCCTGTGATGTGCTTCTTTGTCTCGGTCTATTGCAGTTGTTCGTACCCCTTGGTTCGGGTACTGTTCTGGCGGCGACCCTTCTGCCTTCTTTGGTTTCCTAGCTTGCCCTGCCGGTTGTTTTTTTTGGGGGTCTTGCGATGTCTCTCATCGGACCCGTCGTTTCTGAACTCCTGGCGGGCTTGCATGCTTTGGGGAGTTTTTCTGTTCAGCAGACGTTCCATCTCCTTGTGCCGCCTGGGTTTCGGTGGTCGCGCCCGAGATCTTCCCGCGGCTCCGCCTTTTTCCTGGGCTCGGAGGGGCCTTGTCGGGGCTGCTTATGTTCTGCCTCGCGGTCTTGCCTTCGGTTGGTGGTCGGGTGGCTTCGTGGTAGGTGTTCCACCTGCGTGCTTCTCTTGGCGGCAGTATGGGGTATTTTGGCGGTCCTTCCTTTTCCTGTCCCTTCTTAGGTGGTTACTCTTGTTAGCTTGGTTTACTCTCGGCTTGGTTTTCTGGTGGGGGTTGGAGGCCGTCGTCTTGCCACATACTGTCGCCTCTTTTCGTGCGGCGCAGGCGAAGCTGCTTCAGCTTGCTTTCGGTCTTGGTGTTGCTTCTGCACCGTTAGTCAGCTGTCTTGTGCGTCGTTTCACCTCCGGCCTGTTC